TCATACTACAATGTGAACCCCTTCAGTACCTCATACTACAATGTGAACCCTTCAGTACCTCATACTACAATGTGAACCCCTTCAGTACCTCATACTACAATGTGAACCCCTTCAGTACCTCATACTACAATGTGAACCCTTCAGTACCTCATACTACAATGTGAACCCCTTCAGTACCTCATACTACAATGTGAACCCTTCAGTACCTCATACTACAATGTGAACCCTTCAGTACCTCATACTACAATGTGAACCCTTCAGTACCTCATACTACAATGTGAACCCTTCAGTACCTCATACTACAATGTGAACCCCTTCAGTACCTCATACTACAATGTGAACCCCTTCAGTACCTCATACTACAATGTGAACCCCTTCAGTACCTGTGAACCCTTACTACAATGTGAACCCCTTCAGTACCTCATACTACAATGTGAACCCCTTCAGTACCTCATACTACAATGTGAACCCTTCAGTACCTCATACTACAATGTGAACCCCTTCAGTACCTCATACTACAATGTGAACCCTTCAGTACCTCATACTACAATGTGAACCCCTTCAGTACCTCATACTACAATGTGAACCCCTTCAGTACCTCATACTACAATGTGAACCCCTTCAGTACCTCATACTACAATGTGAACCCCTTCAGTACCTCATACTACAATGTGAACCCCTTCAGTACCTCATACTACAATGTGAACCCTTCACCCCTTCAGTACCATATACTACAATGTGAACCCCTTCAGTACCTTATACTGCAATGTGAACCCTTCAGTACCTCATACTACAATGTGAACCCCTCATACAACAATGTGAATTCAGTACCTCATACTACAATGTGAGCCCCTTCAGTACCTCATACTACAATGTGAACCCTTCATACCTCATACTACAATGTGAACCCTTCAGTACCTCATACTACAATGTGAACCCTTCAGTACCTCATACTACAATGTGAACCCTTCAGTACCTTCAGTACCTCATACTACAATGTGAACCCTTCAGTACCTCATACTACAATGTGAACCCCATCAGTACCTCATACTACAATGTGAATCCTTCAGTACCTCATACTACAATGTGAACCCTTCAGTACCTTATACTACAATGTGAACCCTTCAGTACCTTATACTACAATGTGAACCCTTCAGTACCTCATACTACAATGTGAACCCCTTCAGTACCTCATACTACAATGTGAACCCCTTCAGTACCTCATACTACAATGTGAACCCTTCAGTACCTCATACTACAATGTGAACCCCTTCAGTACCTCATTCAATACCCCTTCAGTACCTCATACTACAATGTGAACCCCTTCAGTACCTCATACTACAATGTGAACCCTTCAGTACCTCATACGACAATGTGAAACCCTTCAGTACCTCATACTACAATGTGAACCCCTTCAGTACCTTACTTAGCAATGTGAACCCTACAATGTGAACCCCTTCAGTACCTCAATGTGAACCCTACCTATACACAATGTGAACCCTTCAGTACCTCATACTACAATGTGAACACCTTTAGTACCTCATACTACAATGTGAACCCCTTCAGTACCTCATACTACAATGTGAACCCTGGAAAATGTAGTACCTCGTTTTACATGTGATTGAATCTATCACAGAGGAGGTATAAGTGACCTGGTGTGTCACAGATGAGATATAAGTGACCTGGAGTGTCACAGAGAATATATTAGTGACCTGGTCTCTCACAGAGGAAATATAAGTGACCTGGTCTGTCTCAGAGCCAATATTAGTAACCTTTTCTGTCACAGAGAATATATTAGTGACCTGGTCTGTCAAAGAGAAATATTAGTGACCTGGTCTATCACAGAGGAGATATTATTGACCTGGTGTGTCACAGAGGAGATATTAGTGATCTGGTGTGTCACAGAGGAGATATTAGTGATCTGGTGTGTCACAGAGAAATATTAGTGACATGGTCTGTCACAGAGGAGGTATTAGTGACCTGGTCCGTCACAGAGGAGATATTATTGACCTGGTCTATCACAGAGGAGATATTATTGACCTGGTGTGTCACAGAGGAGATATTATTGACCTGGTCTATCACAGAGGAGATATTATTGACCTGGTGTGTCACAGAGGAGATATTAGTGATCTGGTGTGTCACAGAGGAGATATTAGTGACCTGGTGTGTCACAGAGGAGATATTAGTGACCTAGTGTGTCACAGAGGAGATATTAGTGACCTGGTCTGTCACAGAGAAATATTAGTGACATGGTCTGTCACAGAGGAGGTATTAGTGACCTGGTCTGTCACAGAGGAGATATTAGTGACCTGGTCTGTCACAGAGAAATATTAGTGACCTGGTCTGTCACAGAGAAATATTAGTGACCTGGTGTGTCACAGAGGAAATATTAGTGACCTGGTCTGTCACAGAGGTGATATTAGTGACCTGGTGTGTCACAGAGGAAATATTAGTGACCTGGTCCGTCACAGAGGAGATATAGTGACCTGGTCTGTCACAGAGAAATATTAGTGACCTGGTCTGTCACAGAGGAGGTATTAGTGACATGGTCTGTCACAGAGGAGGTATTAGTGACATGGTCTGTCACAGAGGAGGTATTGGTTACTTTTTTGTCACGGAAGTTAAAACAAAACAAGACTTTATACCTTAATTCTGATGTTAAATCGACACTTGACGATTTGCTTTATAGGTCTATTATTGTGCCTACAGACAAGCTGCCTAGTTACCTTATCCTACAGACATGCATTTTCTCTCTGTATACAAATAGAACTAGGCATTGCTGATAACGAGGGAAGGTGCAGTGGTATACAAATACATGGTTTGAAACAGAAAATATTGGAGAGTATTTCATGAAAAATTAGTCCAAAAGATGAAAATGGTGAAATTCCTGGCTTACAACATCTTCGATGAGTTTGGTGATAAGATCTTCCTTTTTTTAAACAGCAGAGATTTATTAACCATCGGTTATATCGACCAGAATTTGAAATCAAGAAAACGCCATATTCATCTACATCACCTAATCAAAAGTAACACCTTCCGTCAAGCTTCATAAGTGTGACGTCGTAATATTATATTCGGAAAATGTCCTATTTCTTTGTGTGATATGAAGTTGGACGTCTTCGATGTTCGTTAGTATACCCGCTGTTTACCTTGCCCTCATCGCGCGTGTCATCGATGAAGCAGAAGACTTCATTTCTTTATATTTTATATTAGTTTCATCGGATATGAGTTTGAATTAAGGACATGTTGACATACCGATAATGTATTTGCCGTTTTTGTGACCTTGTTGGTAACGGTGATGAATTATCAGCAAAATTTGGCAGAACATCTTCTATGTTGTGTTAAATCTTAAAACTAGATCAAATCTTGGTAAAAAATGTCTACATCTTGTGCATTTAAATAGCAGGTTGATATGTTAAACTTAACCTTAGAATACAGACTAGCGCGTTTGACCCAGACACTCATAAAACCCGACTGATTCCCCCGTGTTAGTGTTGACAACGACTGTCTCCCGGCTGACACTGATGTTCGCATGGACGAGGCAGATAGCGTATTACAAACAAATAACCATCAAACGAAACTTCCAGTTTTATCAGACACTAAAACGATTTAAAATACCACTTAGTGTCCCAAAGGCCTGTAAAATAGGGCGTGGAACAATGTATCAACCGCTCGCTGATGTATCATAAAACACCAGTATACGTGTAACTCCGTCCCTCAAAGAAGCGGTTATAACCGCGTGCTGGTAATGTTCAAAACCGTTTTTGACTGGAAAAAGCAACGTATTAACAAGAACTTAAACTAACTTTTAAAAACAGTCTGATTTCACGTAAATGGAATATTTTCCACTCGTTATTCAAGTCAGCGAAAGTTTATACAGGGGTCACAGTGACCTTGTGGAACTTCTTGAGGTAGAACTACAGAATAATTACCGGACGTTTAATATTTACGGATGAACCGACTGAACGGAAAACGAAGAATTATTGTGTCGCATCCATTACGTGTTTTCAAAAGAAAATCGGAACTATATTTAATGGAAATACGTGCACTCGGTGTATACATAAATTGTAGTTCCATGTTTCGCGGTTGACTTCCGCCATAAGAATATAACCTTACAACTAATTCGTTTGTGATTAATATTTAACCTTTTGAATTCATTTAATACAATTTGATTTTAATCCTTCTATGAGTATACAGTATACAATGGATGAGGTTGAATTAATAGCAAAGGTAGGTCTTACGACTTACAAAATGAAAACATTTCAGAAGTTATAGTCCTGAATTAGTAGTTAGACATATATATCTGTAACAGTAGCTTCAATTTAGCGACTTTGAATTTTGTCTGGAATGATTTGATCAAAGAAAACGAAAAGTCGGACGAAAAGACAGATTTCACTCAAGTGCGAATTTTTCTCTCAGTGAGTCGAGCGTACTGAGCCGGCAGTCACTGTTAACTCCTGATGTTTCAGTCCGTGTCTAGTAATATCACCGGGTAGAAATCAGTGTTACTCCAGCAGGGGGATATACATGCAGTTGATATACACACAGCACGTGTCTAATTGTGCGCGCTAAGCGTCTGGATGTTTGTACTTTTACAAACTTAGAGGTCATTGTCCAACTAGTGGCACAACTCCTCATCAATTGAACCTTGCTACGTGGATTAGTAAAAGTAGTAGCTTTTAACCAGTGATCCATGACGCACAAATTTAGTAAATTGGTCTTAGTATAGCGAACATGTGAACAGTGTGATGACTTACATTTACATATCATTGATGAGGGACAAAGTACACATGTAATACCCAAGAATGAAAGAAATTATTATCAACATATCACAAATTTTATCGGCAAAATAGTAATCAGTTTAAAGCTATAGATTAAAGCCTGGCACAGAATGCCAAAATTCTCGATATATATTCACAAGTCCAAGATGAAATGGCGAGTTATCTCCCCTACACATTATTTCCCGTCAGGGTATTTAGACAAATGATTTATAATTACAGAAAATGTTTATCGATCTGAATCCTAACGAGGACCGGTTCGTCACTGTGGACGAGTTTATGAATGAGATGTGTAAGGAGGACAGCCGAACAAGAACGTACGTATCTATGATTGGCTTAATAGCTGGGTAGTCTAAAATGTACTTGCCAATAATTTGCTAGAAATGTATACAAATGTACGGTTGTATGATTGGCTTACTTATTGAATATACGTTTATTATTGGTTAAATCGTTCCGAAACTGTACATTTTTCTGATTGGCTCTATCATTACGTACGTGTCTTTGGTCAGCTAAATTATCAAATGATTGGCTAAATTATCAAATGATTGGCTAAATTATCAAATGCGTGACAATGATTGGTCAGCTCACTACAAACATGTTGAGGACAGCTTAGGTCATAATATACGTGCCCATGAATGGCTAGATCATGTTTATGCCTATATTTATAATTAGCTAGGTGTAAAAATTGCTGTAATTAAGTGTGATGCATTTTGGTGTTATTAGCACTCCGGATATCTGTTAACTACATGTGAAAAAAACAACTACAACAATAAATTATTGTAGATGCAACATATTTTCTAAAAACATGAAGGATTAAACCTAAATTTTGCAATATAGCTCCATTTCTCATTGCATTTCTGACAGGGAGAAAGATATGAAGGTGATCTTTAATCAGCTGGACGCTAACAAAGATGGCTTGATAACGCCTGATGACATCGCCTTATGTTTGGAAAAGACCAATCGATCTATGCTTGAGGAGAATATTGATTTTATGATCAAGAAATATGATCGTGATCGTGATGGTGGTCTGAACTTTAAAGAGTTCTTGGTTGCCGCGAGACGGAAATAAACATTTTTGTAAGGCAAGCCAAGATAAAAGACATGTTTCATTTATTCACGGGGAAATACTGATTCAGTAGAAATTATGTTACAAATACATCTGTAGGCGTATCTCGTCTTAATGAGATACATCTGTCTTACAGAAATATATTAAACAAAATATTATACATGCTTATATCAATAATTGCTTGAAATAAATATCTTATAAAGTATTCAAGATATCTTATAAAGTATATGAATATATCTTATAAAGTATATACATATGTAATAAAATATCTAAGATATTTTACAAAGTGCATGAGGCATCTTAGAAGAAAATTAATGAGACATATTATATAGTGATAAGATATGTTATATAGTTTGGTTTAGTGCTGGATCAATATTTCTTTATAAATAAATGAAAAGCTCCCGACCTGCCATAATTTTGTAGCGACAAAAATACACTAGATATTATAACTTTTAACTGTTATAGAAATAATCTGTATTGCCTATTTATCGACTAAACTTATCATGAAACTTTGTTTTTATTTAATGTTTATTCATTTTACCGAACTTTGTCATTCTGACCTAAAAAAGAATGTTTTACGTCACAACGCGGTCAAAGTCAATCCTTAACGGCTTGTTAATCCTATGCAATGAAAGCTTAGGCAACCGGAGTTGCCTCCCTTTAAATGACAAATTAAAATGAAAACGGCCCGGAGATTTCATCAACTTATCAAAAACCTTCAGATCATCTGGAAATGAAATAAAGAATAATTGGTCTCACTAAAATTACACCACTACATGCTGATCTGATACGGTTATTTGTGAGCTGGAGTAAGTATATGTCTTGTTAACGAGTGATATGATTATTTTTTCAACGAGTGTTTCTAAATATCGAACTTTTCAATGTTATTGTTGCCACCATCATTATAGACTATATCAGTCACATGAAGACGTCATTAATATACAATCTAAATAAAGTGTTAGGAGTTAGCCACATCTAGGTACGATTTAGCAATACCCAGGTACAAGTAAGCGATAACCAGGTACGGGTCAGTTAAACTTATTTACAGTGTTACGATTTAGCCACATCTAAGGGAAAACGGCCACAAGGAGTCACAACACTTCACTAGGTGTATAGCATAACCCTCGAAACGTCTGATCATTCCAAACTACATTAGAGCAAAACATGTAGTTTGATGTCTGTATTGCGGTTTGGAACCTGATGACGGCGTGTATTTATCACCAGTTACCCAAGGACACTGACAACAACATCACGGACAGGAAGAGAGCACCTCACAAGGTCATGTTATACTGACCATGTGCTGACCACATTGGCAGACAACCATGTCTTAGAGAAGGAGCAGGTGGAGGCAATCAGAGAACAAGGGAGGTAATTTACATCTCTAATTAAAACTGCACTACACTTACATACATGCGCGAACCTAGAATAGATTCAGAGTCAATGATACATGTTTGCGTTTCTCGTGATCGTTTCGACGTAAAAAAAAGTCTCAATTTCCATGACAAATGCAGCACTGCAATGCATCCCCCATGGTTTTTTTTTTTTGCCCTTTTCTTTCTCTGCGAGGATGTTACAACAAAAATGTAATCACGATAAAAAAATAATAAATGTTTCCAGTTCGCTTTTTTCAAATTCAACATTTATTTAAGAATGACTTTTACAAAAGTATATATATATTGATTTATATTGATGATTGTTATACAAATAAATATAACTCCTTCTGTCCTGTTACTAACTGAGTGGCTGCAGACCACGTTTTAATTTTTAAATGGTACTACTTAGTATTCTGCACTGAATGGACAAGATATACGGTTTTCAGTACAATGTGAGTAGATGAGGTTTCATGTTACCAGGTGCAAATTGAAAAAATTCGGTATGATGGACACACCAGTCGTGAACACCGTCCCCATATAAAATGAATATAAACAAACAAGTTAATAAATCAGGATTAAGCAATGTCAAAACACTAACAACGAAAACACACGTGAAATTCGTCAAAATAACAATTGAGTGGTGAGAACACTTGCGCAAACCTTCTATCATGTCTCTGTCCGTCCATCCGTCTGCCTGTCTGTCTACATTGTATAAATCTTATATCCGTAACACACGTCGTTTGTGAAAATCAATTTATGGTTATTATTCATTGGAAATTTCACGTTTTAGAAGTATATTATTTTTTCAGTTTGACCGAGGCCAACAAAGGTCAATTGAAGTGCGAGAGAACCCCTAAAGGCGGCGTCAAATACATTATACCTTTTTTGATCTTTAGGGGTTGTCCGAATATGTGACGTACAATCATCAATTCGTGTGATTAATAGAGACACTATTCAAGCGACCAGGGGTGAAGTAGATATTAATTTAGGAATCTACAGGTATCGCGAGTACGTTAAAGCTAGTGTACACTTCTAATTACTTGTGAGAAAAGTCTCTCGAGTAACTGTGTTTTGCCAGTTACTGTCCGTCGTGTTGTTTTTTTTGTGATTTACATGACGTGTATCATTTCTGTTGTAATACAGACACGTGCTTGTCATATGTGATGTATAGACCGTAGTAATGTTAGCAAATTATAGCCGCCCAGACACGAGTGTGTTTGTTTATATTTGTTTTATAGCATCCATACATAGTGCACGTGTGTGGGTGTGTACGTCTGTTAATAGTACGGGATACTCAGTGAGTTCTGGTTACAGTACTCCAAATATCAACTAAATTACAGTGCTCCCAAAAATCAACTAAATTACAGTGCTCCCAAAAATTAACTAAATTACAGTACTCCCAAAAAATCAACTAAATTTCAGTGCTCCCAAAAATTAACTAAATTTCAGTGCTCCCAAAAAATCAACTAAATTAAAGTACTCCCAAAAATTAACTAAATTAAAGTACTCCCAAAAATTAACTAAATTACTCCCAAAAATCAACTAAATTACAGTACTCCCAAAAATTAACTTAATTATAGTACTCCCAAAAATTTACTAAATTACAGTGCTCCCAAAAAATCAACTAAATTTCAGTGCTCCCAAAAATTAACTAAATTTCAGTGCTCCCAAAAAATCAACTAAATTAAAGTACTCCCAAAAATTAACTAAATTAAAGTACTCCCAAAAATTAACTTAATTATAGTACTCCCAAAAATTTACTAAATTACAGTACTCCCAAAAATTAACTTAATTATAGTACTCCCAAAAATTTACTAAAGTAAAGCTAGATCCAGCGAGTTCAAATAGACAAAGTAGGGGAAATGATATCTCGTTTTCCATATTAAGTAGCTATACTACTATGTCGCGATCAGATAATAATATTTATGATTAATATGATGACGGAAATGATTATATTATATCGAATGATATAACGAATGTAATAATCACATTAAAATATATTATGTAATGTTGAAAATTAATATTATACCGATAAAATAATTGAAATGTAGGTCTATAGGTAAATTCGAATCATTACACGATCAAGCATGTAACATAGTGATACAATAATATAACGATGACACATGTATATAACGATTATAACATGTAATATAACGATGACATCATGTATATAACGATTATATCATGTAATATAACGATGACATCATGTATATAACGATTATAACATGTAATATAACGATGACACATGTATATAACGATTATAACATGTAATATAACGACGATACATGTATATAACGATTATATCATGTAATATAACGATGACACATGTATATAACGATTATAACATGTAATATAACGATGACACATGTATATAACGATTATAACATGTAATATAACGATGACACATGTATATAACGATGACACATGTATATAACGATTATAACATGTAATATAACGATGACACATGTATATAACGATTATATCATGTAATATAACGATGACACGATTATAACATGTATATAACGTATATAACGATTATAACATGTAATATAACGATGACATCATGTATATAACGATTATAACATGTAATATAACGATGACATCATGTATATAACGATTATAACATGTAATATAACGATGACACATGTATATAACGATTATAACATGTAATATAACGATGACATCATGTATATAACGATTATAACATGTAATATAACGATGACACGTGTATATAACGATTATAACATGTAATATAACGATGACACGTGTATATAACGATTATAACATGTAATATAACGATGACATCATGTATATAACGATTATAACATGTAATATAACGATGACACGTGTATATAACGATTATAACATGTAATATAACGATGACACATGTATATAACGATTATAACATGTAATATAACGATGACATCATGTATATAACGATTATAACATGTAATATAACGATGACATCATGTATATAACGATTATAACATGTAATATACATCATGTATATAACGATTATAACATGTAATATAACGATGACACATGTATATAACGATTATAACATGTAATATAACGATGACATCATGTATATAACGATTATAACATGTAATATAACGATACACGATATAACGATTATAACATGTATATAACGATTATATAACGATTATAACATGTAATATAACGATGACACGTGTATATAACGATTATAACATGTAATATAACGATGACATCATGTATATAACGATTATAACATGTAATATAACGATGACATCATGTATATAACGATTATAACATGTAATATAACGATGACACATGTATATAACGATTATAACATGTAATATAACGATGACATCATGTATATAACGATTATAACATGTATATAACGATATATAACGATATGTAATATAACGATGTAATATAACGATTATAACATGTAATATAACGCTGTCACGTGTTTTTAACGATTTTATCATGGTTTTTTACGTTTACCTCATGTATATAACGATTATAACATGTAATATAACGATGACATCATGTATATAACGATGTATATATATTATAACATGTAATATAACGATGACATCATGTATATAACGATTATAACATTTAATATAACGATGACATCATGTATATAACGATTATAACATGTAATATAACGATGACACATGTATATAACGATTATAACATGTAATATAACGATGACACATGTATATAACGATTATAACATGTAATATAACGATGACACATGTATATAACGATTATAACATGTAATATAACGATGACACATGTATATAACGATTATAACATGTAATATAACGATGACATCATGTATATAACGATTATAACAGGTAATATAACGATGACACATGTATATAACGATTATAACATGTAATATAACGATGACACATGTATATAACGATTATAACAGGTAATATAACGATGACACATGTATATAACGATTATAACAGGTAATATAACGATGACACATGTATATAACGATTATAACAGGTAATATAACGATGACACATGTATATAACGATTATAACATGTAATATAACGATTATAACATGTAATATAACGATGACACATGTATATAACGATTATAACATGTAATATAACGATGACACACGTATATAACGATTATAACATGTAATATAACGATGACACGTGTATATAACGATTATATAATATAACGATGTATATATATAACGATATATAACATGTATATAACGATATAACATGTAATATAACGATATATAACGATTATAACATGTAATATAACGATGACACATGTATATAACGATTATAACATGTAATATAACGATGACACACGTATATAACGATTATAACATGTAATATAACGATGACACATATAACGTATATAACGATTATATAACGATAATATAACGATGACATCATGTATATAACGATTATAACATGTAATATAACGACGATGACATAACGATGACACATGTATATAACGATTATAACATGTAATATAACGATATAACGATTATAACACGATGACACATATATAACGATTATAACATGTAATATAACGACGATACATGTATATAACGATTATAACATGTAATATAACGATGACACATGTATATAACGATTATATCATGTAATATAACGATGACACATGTATATAACGATTATAACATGTAATATAACGATGACACATGTATATAACGATTATAACATGTAATATAACGATGACACACGTATATAACGATGACACGTGTATATAACGATTATATCATGTAATATAACGATGACACATGTATATAACGATGACACATGTATATAACGATTATAACATGTAATATAACGATGACACGTGTATATAACGATTATAACATGTAATATAACGATTGTATATAACGATTATAACATGTAATATAACGATGACACATGTATATAACGATTATAACATGTAATATAACGTATGAACATTATAACATGTATATAACGATGACACGATGTATA